AATGTGTATGTATGCCTGGAGAAGATTCGGTTGTCGGACACAATGTTGTATTAAACAGTTAGGGCATTACTACCTTGTGGTGTATAGAATATATATCACTATCGTATCATCAATTTATTTATTTTCTCTGTCTATCTATCATGATAGGTGACGGGTGTATCGAAGATCTCTGTGTGTATGTGTACGCGTGTGCATGTTTCTCTGTGCATTGATATGTGGATGTGTTTGTGTGTGATTCATTTATTCTTTGTTTCACTTGACCAACATAAAGAAATTACCTCAATTAAAAAAAAATTTAGGATATTGTTTTTGAATAATTGATTTTGTTTATCTATATTTATAGGTTCTCGTGTGTGTGTGTGTGCAACCTGATAACTGTTGGTGCTTGTTTGTTTGTATGTCTTCCGATTCCCGTATTCGTTTCATTTTTTATCATTTTGGTAATTTCTAATTAAACCTCTGCTATTGGTATTATTTTTTGAAGAAAAATATGAAAATATGAAGTATTTCAAGATTGATCACGGACTGATTTCAGTTAGAGAACCAATGGAAATTGAGAAGTACTGGGCAGGTGTTTTGTCCTCTTAGTTTAGAGCTCTTCAGCAGCAAGCATTAATGATTCTCCTTGGAATCGAATCCAAGACCTTACGGTTAAAAGGCACTAGCTGGCCACTGAGACAGCATCCAATAGCTAATCAATTTTTTAACTTCTACAGTGCCGTCACCCAATGTCATCGGCAAATATTTGTCCTCACACTCGACCTGTTTGACCTCATTAGTGACGATTCCTCACTAGAATACTAGTTAACTTTCAATTGTAGTCGGTTACTAGTGAGCATCAGATTAATTTTCGGGAGTTATTTTGTTAACATTTGATCGGTTTACAGTTTTACCACGGATTGATATCCTTTAGTGAATGGTTGGAAAACAGGAAGTATTGGATAGCTTTTTCTTCCCCATTTGTGACTCTTCATCAGTACGCGTTAAGGAGCTAAAGGCTGCAAGGCGAGCTCGCTGAGCATTCAGTCCATTAAGAGGGAGTCTTATGCCCCATGAATTCTCAGTTCTGTCAGTTCGCCATAAAGGCTGTCAAACTAGTACAAAATAACTGTCCAAGACTCCTTGATTTTTAAAGCTTCTCTGACAACTGAATTTAGTTCATGATTGAACTTGGAATCAAGAAAATCCCCGCAAACCAATTTACACTTGAAAAAAAATAATATGAAGTAAATAAAGTCTATCCTAAGAATTTCGAAACTAAATTGTAAAAACACTAATAGTAAAAGAAGGTATTGTTCTCTCTTTTTTTCTCTTTTACATGTTGTATGACTTGTCTTGTTCTGATTGAAATGATTATGGATAAGTATGCTAGTGAGGTCATTTCTCCCGTGATTGTTACTTCTTGATCAGATTACTTCAAAATGAATGACGGTTTATTAGAAGCCTTCAGCTGAAGACTTCTATGCTTGTGAAACTGTCTAATTTCATTCTGGAGATATAAACGTGATTTACATCTACCGGTTCTTCCTCTTGACTCTTGTGACATGGAGGAGACACTGAAGTAGATACTAATCGAATTGTCAAATATTTTGGTTTATTGGTTAAAGGATTTCATCATGAGCTGACATTGGTTAGAGAACCATTGAAAAACCAGGGAGTACTGGACGACTGTTTCGTCCTAATTTGGGATTCTTCATCAGTACGCACCCACCGTCAGGATTCGAACCTAAGACCTTCTGGTTAAAAAGCTGGCGAGTGCGTAGACCATTAAGCCACTGGGACCCGATCCAATGGCCCATGAATTCCAACTTCTGCCAATTCACGATATAGCGCAACCGCTAGCCAATGTCTTTGGCGAGTATTTGTCCTCACACCCTACTGGTCACGACTTCCCACTACTCCCAGGTTTTCCAATGGTTCTCTAACCAATGTCAGCTCATGATGAAATCCTGTAACCAATCAACCTAATCCCTAAAAATCAATGCTTGAATTTTAGTTTAATTCTTTCCTGTAATCTATCTCGGTCGTCTAACATCGAGTTGATTACTAGAAGAAAGTTAAAAAAAACACTGTGGTTTAACTCAGTTTCTTGGATTTCACCCATTCATCTTTGTTGTTCCCTTTTTTGTTCTTTTCTGGACTGTGCTTTAAAGAAAATTTTATTGCATTGCAAAGAACTGTGTAAAAGCTGTTAGTAGATTAAGTGGTGTATGTATGTGTGTTTGGAGGGCCGAAATCCTTTGATGTTGTCTTTGATATAGACATTTGAAATCATGTAAGCAATTTTCAAAAGTGTTATTTTATTAGACTCTGATGAACTCCCTTTGTTTAGTTCACTACTGTACCGTTGAAATACCTCAGAAAGAATTTCGAAAGACTTTACGCTAGTTTGATTTTATATATGAAACATCAAGGATGCCTTATTTGGTATGGAAGTTTTGTGACGAAAAAGGTTTTAGGTACACGGAATAGCTAACTTTTAATTTGTAATAGTAAATTGGCGGCTCTTTTTCTCCTTTGTACCAGTGATGTATTGTTGTCATTATTCTTATTAATTTGTAATTTATGTTTACATTAACATATTATTATTACTATTATTGCTATCATTATTATTACTGTTATTATTATTTATTGTAAGGTTTATAAAGTTCTGTAATTATTCTCCCTCTTACTGTGTATTGCATTATTGTACTATATATGCGAAGAATTCTACATTACATGTAAAAAAATATTGTTTGGAGTAAAGCCACTATTATTACTATTTTTGTAACAAGGGCCAGGCAACAGATCGTTTATTGAGAAAATCAAGAGATATTTATAAATTTTTATGTACATCATCCGTTATTATTAGCAGAGAAACAGCTTCTCCTGATTGGTTGTTTTCCTGCTGAAGGTTATTCTGCCATTTCTTTGTTGCCGTTTCTTTGATGGTCAGATCATATGTTTGCGGATCGTATCCGCTCACGCAAAGTCTGCTGATACATTTGTTATTGAGTTAGTCTTTGTTCGTGTTTATTTTTTCTCATGACCAAGATTTGTGACGTAAACATTGACGCAAATTGCTGTCTACCAATTTTGTCTAGCAGACAGCTCTCACCACATTATTATTATTATTGTTTGAGATTCCAGTGAAAGCAGAAAAGAAAACATTTAGAAAATCAGATGTGAAGTATTTTGTAGTGTTTTTTTTTAACAGAGCTATTCTATAACTCGTAGAGTTGTTGAGTAAAATGGTTTTCTGACCATATAGTTTTGAGGATGGTTAAAAGATGCACCATGCATTGTTCGTTAGTTTTTACTACAAATAATATTAGTAGCTAGAGTAGGATTACGTAACATTATGGGCGTTTCTGTTGGTTATATACTTCTTCTACATTACCTGATTATTTAATCGATACGACTTAAGCTAAACTGATACTAGTTGATAGTATGACCAAGTAATCAGTGCCCACAAAAAAACTGTATTGCTCTTACTCAAAAGGTGACAAACCATCAAGCAAGGGTAATTAAATAGGTCAATAGGCATCAGCAATATATCCATTGATAGTTAAATGTTCCATCGGGTTCGAGTCCTAACTGGCTGACAACCTACTTGACCACTCCTAGTGTAGTAAGCCCGGAGAAACGGGAATATTGGTCGTGAGAACTGGCAGCTTCTCTTCTTCGAGACAGAACTACCTTTACTGAAACTTCTGAAGTTTAAAGCCACCCTATTTTCCACTCGGACCTCTGAGGATTAGTGAAAATAAAACATGTACGAGGCTGCTGCGTCTATCTTTCCCGTGGTGTATAAAAGGGAAAAAATAGGAAATTTGAAATAGGATCAGTCTGAGAACATTTCCCACTGATTGTACGTTCTTACTCTGAAGTTTTCCAATGGTTTCCTTGTAAACTGTGTACGAATTCTTAGAGGTTTTTTAGGTAGTCTGTAGTATTTTGTAGAAGCATGAGGGTAGGTGCCATATTTTATCCTAATACTGCGTCATATATAGACAGGTGAACATCGAAACTGTCATAAATATTTTTTTAATTTGAAAATTGCCATAACACAAAACAACATTCCCTGATTACACTGTCAACTGGTACTAAAAGTACTAAAAGAATAATTTAATGAAGATCACTGAGAATACCTTAAGGTTCAATAGATGATAATTACTGAATACATCATAGTGTATTATAAACTGTCTCACCGGCAGTCGTCCGACTTGGATTCGCAAACAAACAACATACATTTTCTTTAATAGTTTAGATCGGAAATGTACCCAAAAAAAAGCCTCCTGGGTTAATTTCGGGCAGTGTTTTTGTTTCTTTACTCTCATGTATGTTACCTGCATCTCACGGCATTGTATCAGTGAGCTGCGTGTGAACACTATTCATTTTAGTAACGATAACTGTACGCTTGGATGATTTGTCAGTTAGGTAGGTTATCCAGATTATAGATTATTTTAGGGATTTGGAAAAATGCCGGTGTGGATTTCGTCACGAATCAATATCAGTTAGTTAGAGAATGTTGAGAAGCAGCGATTCTCGGTCCTTTGTCTGAAAGTACCTGGCTCGATCCTTGATAGATTTCCACGTAGTATGAACAAATGTAACCAGAAGGTCCTGGGTTCGAATCCCGGTGGGCGCGTACTGATGAAGAGTCCCAAACTAGGACGAAACAGCTGTCCAGTACTCCCAGGTTTTCCAGTGGTTCTCTAACTGATGTCAGCTCATGATGAAACCCTCCATGCAAATATATATATCTTCAGTTTTGTTCTGAAAAGGAAACATTTAACAGTGGTGCTTTTTGTTCTAGATTAACTGTAAGGAAGTTTATGATGATGTTAGTGTGTATAGAGACCGATTGACTATTCTACCAAATTCATTTTCTGTTATACGTGTTACTAATATGATATAATATTATTTTTTAGTGTTTAATTCTACTATTTCTAAATATTCTGTTATCATCAACTCTCTATCCTTTCTTTCTCCCCCTTTCTCTCTGTGTTTCTTAAAAGGGCTATCGTGAACAGAATTCAATTAATCATATCATGAGTTTTCTAATTGAACAATCTAATCATTTATTTCGTATGATTGCACCAAGTTGTGAAAATGTGATAACGCCATTAAGTGATTTGTCAAATGGCGGTGGCGGTGGGGGTGGTGGTGGTTATTCGTCACAAATCTCACGTGTTCCACTTATGGCTGCTGCTGCTACTACTACTACTTCTACAACTGATGCCATTATTATTAATGATGGTGATGATGATGATGATGATGTTGATGATGGTGACAAGAAGTATAAAGAAAGATATGAGTAAGTAACATTTTCTGTCTTTCTCTGTCGTTTTTTAATTATGTATGCTTTTGTTACTGCCGACATGTTTTGATACTTAAACGTTATATCTAGTTGTGCTGTATAGTATTCACAGTCAGTTTTTTCCCCGGGGGTTGTGGTGGGCATGTGTACTGTTCAGCAGTCCACTGTGTCCTTTTGTATGGCTGTGAGACATGGTCATTGAAAGTGAAAGATATGATGAAAAGATTAGCTGTCTTAGACCACAGATGTTTGTGTGTTTTACCTTCCGTGTTAAATGGCATAATGTGATGAGTAGTATTGAGGTTATAGTGTTAGACAGGAAGAGTAAGTGAGTCGATGAGTTTGTGGAGCTACATGCCTTGCTCATTCCAGGCGATAGCCTTCTTCGATGAGCCATGTTAGCCAATATAGGATCAATTTGGAAAAGAGTTAGGGTTGGTCTAACCGAAACCTGGCATCATTCCATGTGGAATTTAATACAACCACGTAGGGTGGTTTAGCTCCTCGGGATGGTAAGAACCAGTAGCTGGAGACTATTGGTAATATGGCTCAAAATTGTTGTCAGTGGAGCGCAGATACATTCACTCTTTGGGATCTCCCATATCTGTTATTACGTCATCGTGTTTCTGCATGTCACTATTCTTTCTATATAGAGTTTTGAAAGTTAAACAGGTGCACTTCTGTACAGAGTTTTCTGTATTGAAACTAAATCTGTCAGTCAGTTAATCATGAATGATTTTGTTGTTTTTCTCTCTTGAAGAAAATATTTCTGTTGACAGAGTCTTCAGTGTTACTTTTTGTAAAGTTGGAAGCATCCCTAATCGAACCGAGAGTCTTCAAGGCTCATGGAGAGAATTCGCTATTGTTGAATTCTACATCAACCTTTCCCCTTCTTTGTTTTCTTGATAATTTGACAGTGAAATATTTAGCATGACTTTTCAGATCGTCTACAAGGGATAAGTAGGTGTTACTCACTTATTAATTAGCCTTCTGTTGTCTCTGTAGGTTATTCATCCCTTCATCTGAAACTTCTGTATTGCCCATGTTGTTGTTGCCTAATATTTATCTATTTTTATTGTATGAATTCAAAGAGAAAACCTGCATAATCCACCTTCACATCGTTACTTTTTACTCTAAGTTTAAAATAACCACGTCTAGTTTAGGAGCGTATATACCCTGGCATATATATAACTACCCATATATATATATATACTTGTGTGATGTGATATAGTTTTGGTAACGTTTTAAGTGAAGCAATGCTTGAACAGCTGAAGTGTTGATTGATTTCCACTTGATGAAGTCACAAAATCACTTCTTTTAGGGTGATTGAGACATTTTACAACAGAAAACTACCTCTAATGAATTTCGAGTTGCTCTTCATAACACGTAAACGAAATACGAATTACTACTCTTGTAACAACAGAAGACAAGGGCCAGGCAACAGATCGTTTATTAAAGAAATCAAAGCATATTTATATATTTCATGTACATTATTATAGATTAGTTAAGCAAACAAACACAGTCTTCAGATTGGTTGTTTCTCACTTAAAGTTAATCTTTCATCTCTTTGTGACTGTTTCTTGAATGTCAGATCATCTATATGTTAACTGTATCCGCCTACGCAAAGTCTGCTGTGGTCGGTTTTGAATCAGTCTTTGTTCATATTTTCTCACGACAAATCTTGAGAACGTAAACATTGACGTAAATTACTGTCTACCAATTTGGCTAGTAGACAGCTCTCACCACACTCTTAGTTTCAGTGTTATTCAGCCTACAGTTTTATAGAGAGATGTATGAGTTTTGTGCATATTTTTGCGTTTTATGTTTTTCTCTGTTCTATTCTTTATTATATAATTGATCTATGTAAATGCGGTTTTGTTACTAGGACTGATTATTGTTCCCTTGGGTTCCGAATGGAGTGGAGCGCTTCACAAACACATCTGCATTTCACTCGGTTCTATGCAGTCTTTTCTATCCGGAATGTTCCTTGATCGTCCATAAGCTTTCATTTCCTCCTTTTCACTCGATCTCGTCCATGTCACTCGTCGTTTACCATTTGGATTGCACTCGACGGCCTGTACTGCACAGCAGTGCTAGGCTTCACTTTGAAACTGTCTGTGTGTTTTTGATGTGTGTCTTAACGGAATTCATTTCAAGTGACAGTAATCACACATCATTACTACTGGTGATCAGTTCTTGATATTTTCAAGAGCTTTTCGATTTTGAACAATACAATTGTGTATACTGCTTTAGATAAACTGGATATTAATCTATTGAGTTCAGAATCACTGTTCTAAGAAGTGTTAGATACCTGCTTAGTGTACTTGAAATGTTTCGTTTCAATAGTGTTAGACAAAATTCAGTGAAATAGTTGGAGAACATTCACAGGGATACTAAAGTAATAACCTTTCATTATTAAAGTTTCGACCATTTTCAGTGGTCTTCATGTAATTGTTTTGACCTCTTGAATTTCATGCTTTTTTCTCTTAATTTGGGACTATGGGGGGTGGTGATTTGGCAAGTCTAACCATGGCTTTATACATATACATATATAAGCTACTGATCCCCGCATACAGTGTTCTCCATAAGGGACAGATACGTGCCCAGGTGTCCGCGATGTCTCCGTGTATTTTATGTGAATAATATTATAGCTTATTAAACTCTCTAAGGGACTCATCACATTGTTTATCCTTCTTTCAGCTATCAGCCTTTATTTGTTTCTTCATTTCTTTGCATTCAGAGTGGAAAATAAGACTTGAAGCTTTAAGCTTTGAATTTTCAGTTGCAGTGTTGTATAGTTTTCACGCGAGGTCAGGTTGTTTCTCTTCAAACCCCTCAACCTTGCCTCCTTTTCGGTTTTACTACTGGCCACTCGTAGTTTAACAGTGAGTTGACCGGGAATCACACCGCTGTGAGTGATATATACGTCCTTGTTGAGCATTCTTCTCCTGAATCACGGATTCACCACTTATTCTGTAATCAGTCCTATTTTAAAACATTCTGTCGATATACACTCAATACAGGTCTACATTTTTCTGTTGTTGCGGATTGCACGCTGTTTTTCTGTAATAAAACTGCACACATTGTCCAAATTCGTTAATCTCTAGATTTTTGATCTGAGAGAATGCGTTATATATCGTGTGTGTGTGTGTGTGTGTGTGTGTGTGGAAGTAGGTGGAAAAGTTATCCTCGTGTGTCGAGTATGCATTCCAACCCCCCACCTCTTTTCTGATTTATTTTCTAATCGACAGATTTCAAAGGCAGTAGAAGCAGGCATCCTATGTGTAGATAGAATACTAAAAGTTGTAGTTGTAATATCATTTACTAAAGTGTATATATACATATACATTCAGTAGCTTGTTCAAGTAGAATCATCATCATTATTCCATTATATACATATATATATATATATATATATATATTTTACACATGCAATGTTGATGATTATTCGATTCCATGGGCTGATACCATTTTAATTTATTTTTGTAATTGATGAGTGAAATAATATTTTTTTTCTTTCTTTGGCCTTTCATAAAAACTATAAAACTTGATGATTAATCAGTTTTCTAGTAGTAGTCTCCATGTGTGAGTGTGTTCGTGTATCTGCACCATTCCTATAGAGGAGATACTATGCTTTCGTATTCTACCATCATTATTTATTATTATTATTATTCATTGTTGATGTTAATCTTTATGTAGGTCGGTAGTTAGTCGATTAGTAATTCCTTTCAGGCATTATTCTTTTTTTTTATTGATGTGTTAGATATTAATTTATTTAACGAACTGTATTCACTCTCACCTCTCTCTCTCCGTCTATCTCTCTCCCTATCTTGCATTCATCGCCCCTTATGCGTTAATGTGTGAATAAACTGGGCAAATCATAGATTAGCGTAGATTAATATAATATTGTGTTGTAGGATTTTAGGTGTGCGTGTTCCAATTGTATTCTACCTATATATGATGATTGATGGTTGCGAGTATGTTGTAGGCGTGAAGAACAGCTTAGCAGTTGTGTTGAATGGAATAGAGGTAAACAAAGTTGGTGTTTGTCTATCGAAATACTGCGATGTGTGCAACATCATCTGTGTAAAGTTCAGAATATGGCTGGTTGGGGTTAGTTAATTGGATGATATTGTAAGGTGGTGGAGTTTCTTCTGTCCAGTTGATGATGGATGCAACCAACTTGAAGGAACTCATGCCCCCTCTGAGAGTCGGACTAATATCACCCACCTAGTACTGCAGTCAGATAGATGCTACTACTGGTCTATTCGGGCTGTAGGACTCTATTACATGCTTTGATTGAAAACTAGTTAGTTACTAGAATTCAGTCTGCCCTAAGGAAGGGACCAGTCACATTACACTAGTTCATAACTAGGATCCAATGAAAGTATGCAGTATAGTCCTACAGGAGGTTAGTCGCGAGTCTGAATAGCTTGGTGGTGACGTGTCTGACTGCAGCACTTACTGGGTGACGCGAGTTTGAATCTCAAAAGGGAGTTAAGTTCCCTCAAGGTTGTAGATACGCCTTGCCGACTGGTGAGTGCCTCCAACCATTTTATATCAGCAGAGATAATATATATCAATATGATGCTAAATCCAATGAATATCAGGTAATTTAAGGGAAGTAAAACATATAATTTATGGACTTTTAGGTTCGACAGTAGACCAGGGTGACAATGGTAGCTGGATGTGTCTCTTTACCACGCAGAGCTCCGATTGTTTTAAGCAGGAATACTCCTCATTCATTCATGTGAAGTCAGTGGTACTATACGGATCAGAGACTTGGCGCGTCATAAAGAGCATCCCAAACAAACTACAGACCTTCATTAACAGCTGTCTTTACTCAAGATCAGATGGCCGGCCAGAAAAGATCACCAACAGAGATCTCTGGCAATGAGCGAACCAACCATGGACCGATTGTGAAACAAATAAGCAGGAAGCAGGATTGGCTGGCCATACTCTGAGGAAACCATCAAGTGACATCACTAGACAAGCCA